GGGCCATGCTTTGATCTGAGGTGCATCTCGGAGCGCTATCTGCTTGGGTCTAAAGAGGTATTGATGCTACTGGCAGTGATTAATAACAGGACACGGAGATGCGTCTCAAAACAGTCTCGGGTTGGTTAGTAGCCCAATGCGGGGCAAGCTTCCTTTGATACCGCAAGGCAGAGTATGTGACCGCCCACAACTCAAGCTTTGGCCGGAACGCTTTCCTATGCAGTTCTGTGGGGTGTTGCTGGTTGCCACTGTAAGCCTCGACCATGATCCTCTGAAATCAATATGGAAGGTTGTGCACGCTTCCTCTTCAGCAACTTGGCCTCTCAACTCTAAATTGTAGGACTGACATGCCAGTGGTAGCTCGTTCAAGATAGAAGATCACGATTTACTCCTCTATGCACAATGCACATACGCTGCCGCAGAATCTGTGCGCTTTCATATCTTCTGTATTCCCGTGCTGACGACGCTGCTCAGTAGGTTTCTCATCGGCCTTTCATCGACTCTCCGGTGCTCCACATCGAAGCTGCAACTGGTTCATTCGCGTATCTGTCCCTATCTGCAATCTCGGGTGGTCGTCTATTCTTGTCTTTCGGCGACATGCCGAACTCTTTCGCGCTGCGCGTCGCTATTCTCGCGGGCAATGGCATCATTCGACAGAAGCTCGCCCTGTCCGCTCATTGGCCCAATATCCTTCGGGGAAACAGTGAGCATTCCAACGGTTCGTCACTTGGGACTCGAGATTGCCTTCGCCAGATAGCTTGTCTGCAGCTGTATAGCCATGACCGTGATCTTCCAGCTTCTCTGTGGTGGCTGTGAAGGCCAATCAGGGTATGGCCTTACTCAACTCGACATTACAAGCTCGAAAGCCATCTATCTGTGTAGTCATTCCACTCATATCATGTTCGCGATGGGAACTTCACGACACCGGTTCAGGAAGTAAGAGCTGTGCGACATACGCTTTCAGATGCTGATCTCAATGTTCCAGGTACCACCACTGTTACTACATGTTCAAGCCTCGGATCTCCCTTCCTTCCTGCCGTGAGATGTATAGCCATGTTGCGATGCGAGCTATCATACGATTGGGCATCATCAAACAGATAAGGCGCTTCGCAGGAACAAAGGGAGACGATGCCTATATGACGACTACGGCCAGCTGAGAGCTGTGCCTTGTACCATTTTGAGACCCGAGTCGCACACTCAGGCTGAGGGCTCCAGGGCGAGCGATTGCACTCGAAACGAAGGAGATTTACCCGAGCCAGCAGCGCGACAAGGCCTCCAGTTACTGCGCTACCTGTCTCTTGCGGCAAAAGTTCGCTCGGTAGGAAACATCACATGACGTCGTTCTGGAAGCGTTGCGTTGGCGGTGTCTCAAGGAAATGGTCGAGGTGGTTTGTTGGCCCCGTCCGTTGCATTCAAGCGCTGAGGGACTGTGACCATCGACGACAGTCGTTACCCACCTGCTGACCGCTTTGAATGTGGCCCAGCCCGCCTGACCACACCGCAACAGTCTGGTAAGTTTTGTGTCTCCCCGCGCCCGGATTTAAGCCGAATTGCCTGACCCAAGTGGTGCATGGATGAGTATGGTTCTCCTATGCTGAGCGAACGGCTACCAAGAAACTGAGGGCACTGATATAGCTAATCAACCCTCCAGCCAGACAGGCGGATTGCACTTGTGATACAATGCCATCGAGGTCTGCAGGACGGCGGTGAACGCATGAAGAGCCCACTCTACGGTTGTCTACAGGCCATGGGAAGATTCTCACCGTCCCGCCTCGGCACCTCCTCGCAGTGCCAAGACTTGCTTGTTCTCCATTTTGACAAACAGTCGCATCCGAAGCGTCTCCTCCGACTTCTCCCATCAGCCTTGGTGATCACCCGTGCCGTCTGCGGTGCTCACATGGGGCATTGACGCTGCTTGACGAGGCCCGCTTTGCTCTCCGTAGTACTGTCAGAACAGTTGTGCCGGTGCAGAGCTCTAAGATGCTGCCGCCATTGAGCTTACGTTCTCCAGCAGCTTCGGTCGCTCCTCGGTTGTCCCGCTCCTCTTGACCACCCATCCATGGACAGCGAGGCACGGAACTCATGCACCTCGCTGCCCAAAAGCGACGACAAGCCAGCGATCGGAGAGTCTTCGGTTTCTGGCCATCATACAGGCTACTCAGAGTCAGCCTTGTTCTGGCACGGCTCGCTGAGAGAGCGAACCCGTACACAATCGACGGTGAAATCATCACAGGACGGTGTCCCCTTCGCCCGCATATTTTCCGGTCGTCGAACGTATAAAGGCATCCCGAAATTGTGCTGGCTCGCTATCGAGCACCTCGCTTCGACCTCAACAGACCGCAAGCAGCGTTCTCGACCTCGGCCTTGGAGATGTTCCCCGCAGTCGCTCTCCTCGCTCTCTCCTACCTCGCCATCTCGCACGCCCAGCAGGTCGGCACGCTGACCGCGGAGAACCACCCCAAGCTCAGTATTCAGCAATGCACGGGCAAGAACCAGTGCCAGACCCAGCAGCACTCGGTCGTGCTCGACTCCAACTGGCGTTGGCTCCACTCCACTAGCGGCAGTAATAACTGCTACACCGGCAACACCTGGGACACCTCGCTCTGCCCCGACCCCGTCACTTGCTCGAAGAACTGCGCTCTCGACGGTGCTGACTACTCTGGTGAGCCCCACGCCATCTCTCTATATCAGGATAGCCCGCTTACATTAGAGAAATAGGCACCTATGGAATAACCACCAGCGGCAACCAGCTCTCGTTGAAGTTCGTGACCCACGGCCCGTACTCGACTAACATCGGTTCTCGTGTCTACCTCATGGACTCCAGCGACCAGAAGTACCAGATCTTCAATCTCAAGAACCAGGAGTTCGCATTCGACGTCGACATGTCCAAGCTTCCTTGCGGCCTCAACGGCGCGCTCTACTTTGTCGAGATGGACGCGGACGGTGGTGTCTCCCGCTTCCCGAACAACAAGGCTGGTGCCAAGTACGGTACGGGTTACTGCGACACCCAGTGCCCGCACGACATCAAGTTCATCAACGGCGAGGTTAGTACACGGTCTTCCTTCTCCCTGAATTGCTTCTCATTCAATCTCATTTTAGGCCAATATTCTCGGTTGGACTCCGTCCTCGAGCGACCCCAACGCTGGTACTGGCCAGTACGGTACCTGCTGTAACGAGATGGATGTCTGGGAGGCGAACTCCATGGGCGCCGCTGTTACGCCCCACGTCTGCTCTGTCCAGGGTCAGACGCGCTGCTCCGGCAACGACTGCGGTGACGGCGACAACCGTTACGGCGGTATTTGCGACAAGGACGGTTGCGACTTCAACTCGTGGCGCATGGGCGACCAGACCTTCCTCGGGCCTGGCAAGACCGTCGACACGAACCAGAAGTTCACTGTCGTTACCCAGTTCCTCACGAACAACAACCAGACCTCCGGCCAGCTTTCCGAGATCCGCCGCCTCTACGTCCAGAACGGCAAGGTCATCGCCAACTCGAAGACCAACATCCCCGGGATGTCCGCCTACGACTCGATCACCGACTCGTTCTGCAACGCTCAGAAGCAGGCCTTCGGCGACACCAACTCGTTTGAGAAGCTCGGCGGTCTTCAGCAGATGGGCGCATCCTTCGATAAGGGCATGGTTCTCGTCATGAGTATCTGGGACGACCATGAGGCGCAGATGCTCTGGCTCGACAGCGACTACCCCCTTGACAAGGACCCCTCGACACCAGGCGTCTCTCGCGGCCCATGCCCTACCTCCTCTGGAAAGCCCACCGACGTTGAGTCGCAGAGCCCCGATGCCACCGTTGTCTTCTCCAACATCAAGTTCGGTCCCATCGGCTCGACTTACTAAGTTCGATGGTCGGTAAGTGGTGCACCTGCTTTTAACTAGCCTCCGACATATTGATTGTGCATCACATTTACAGGAGAACCGACGGCCTTGACCATTAGTGCAAAAGGAGTATCGCACAGTCTCAAGTCCCCTTCACTTGGATTTCACCATTGTGTCCGATGTTCTGTAAAGGTGTCTGCATGTGCTCGAGAAATACGATTAAAGTTTCAGCTGGCGCATCAGTGTGCTATCGTGAATATCCAAGACTCACCGACATTGGCTATGGAGTCTGCGTTCTGTTGCGCAACGACTTAGAACAGAACAAATCCGCAACTTGAACTTCAAGGTACAGCAGCTACAATATACGAGGTTCGTACGACGTGTACTATTGGACGAGCGCAAAAAGTGAACCCTGCTCGGATCGAACGGACGACCTTGAGGATTTCCCTCGTGAAGGATTGCTCCTTCGACTGGAATCTCACGCGCTACCACTGTGCCAAGGGTTCCTTGCCGGCATTAGTTTTGTGTTGCCAGTCGACCACTGGTGTGCGTTATTGGCTAGGAAACGTCCGTTTCCACTCAAATCATCCTACGGTTGTGTGCCGTTTGTGCCTTACGACAGGGAAGCTGGTGGTGTTCCACTAGGTCTACAGTACCAATTGCCAACACTGTGAGCTCAACTTGAATACCATCAAGTTGAAAAGGGGGGGACCTCTCTCACACACGAGAGAGAGAGAGAGGTGCAAAAAGTGAACCCTGCCCGGATCGAACGGACGACCTTGAGGACTTCCCTTGGCGGATCACTCCGCAGGCTGGAATCTCACGCGCTACCACTGTGCCAAGGGTTCATGTTGAGCGCTCATACTCTTCACCACACGATGGCAATGCAATATAAGCTTTCACGGTGATGGTTCGTGAAGGTTGGCTCCGTGAACACGAAGAGGGATGTGTTATAGCAAACACGAAGAGGGATATGTTATAGCAAACACCAAGAGGGATATGTTGTAGCACGGGCCGGAATTGCGCTCAGCGCGCTTGTGACCGAGGACATGACCTTACCGGACTAACGTCCGCCTGGTCTGAAGGTGAATATTGGGGGAGGGAGTTCATGGTAGCTGGGTTCCAGCAATGTGAATGGAATGAGATTGGACACACGAGGCAGTTTGCCAGAACCCTTGGCACAGTGGTAGCGCGTGAGATTCCAGTCGAAGGAGCAATCCTTCACGAGGGAAATCCTCAAGGTCGTCCGTTCGATCCGGGCAGGGTTCACTTTTTGTCTCTTCACGAGCATCATGACATTCACAATAATCCATGGTCTTAGTGATGTCTATGAGTCCATATCCACGCCGGTCAGATGGTGGCTAAAGGTATGGCAAGTGATCCTCCCATATGAAGGTCTTGTCTGGCACCGGGTGTCTCGTAGGCCTCTCTCATAGCACAAACGCCGATGGCGCGTTATGACCAGTTTAACGGCACAATATGAAAGACCCTCTGGAGATATATGAAGATTGTGAAAGAACTATCCTCATGTATTATACGTGTCCATCCCGAACACGCTTGTAAAGCCCTACTATGAGATCGTTCGCCGTCAGCGTAACGATGCTGAGAGATACACAGTCAGGTTGACATTAGCAGAATGAAGAAATCGGGACTCACGTATGTGGTACTATACGGAGAAAATGCGCGGTAGACCCTGCACAGACCTGAGTCAGCTCATGCAACACCCCTGGAGGATTGAGGTGATTGTGCGAACCCTTGTACCAGCCCAAGGGTCCCTCGGCCTTGAGCGTCTTCCAGAGACAATCTATGGGATTTTTGTAAAGAGCACCGACGTGTCTGCCGTCGGGCGTGCGTATGGTAGGTTGATTATACATCCGAGTCAGTACGGTATCCGTCGGTTGCATCATGGTAAGCTACATCGTTGTCAGCGGCCTGACGGACAGAATTGATGGATGTATGATAGCATACCACACAGAGGCCTGAGACGGAGCTGCTCGCCAGGAATGTCCAGATGCTGTCGGCGCTGGAAATCCCGCGACTAACAAGCTGGTTCTTTGTCCAATTGTATGTAGGGAGCTGAACCTGACGACAAAGTGTTAAATGCATATGTCAGGAGATCGGCGAAATGTCTGCGTTAGGACTTACGGATGAACCCATGGCTGTCCTAAGGGCAGCCGCGTCGATACCTCGTACCAAGCCGCGGAACTTCTCTCCGTGCCAGATGTTTCTTAGCGCATCGAATGAGCTCTTGTAATAATGTTGCGCGCCGACCGGCAGCACGGGCGAGTAGGCCTGAATTTGATGGAGTGAGGCAGCGCAGCTGTATGAACGGACACAGGGACATACCTGCATCCGCGCTTTGATGAGAAAGAAGGGATTCCCAAGACTCGCTGCATATTTCTCATTAGTGTCGCATCATTGTCGATGGTGAATAGCGAGTCCGACCTCCGATGATCCCACTCGCCGCGCCGGAGAATACGGAGGTGAAGGGTATCTGGTCCGTGGGATCAGCGCCGATGAGTTTGTTGCATTGTCTCCGAATCGGCTCATAGAAACCTAGCAAGTCATGGTGAGCTTGTCTGCGACACTTCAGCCGCTCGAGTACCATGACGTACCCAGTCGGGAACCGTTCATCAGAATCTGACTTGGATCAGGCCAGGAAGAAGCAGCTGCAGCAGCGTGGGATGACTCACTTGGTAGACATACTATGCGGACATACGTGAGCTAGTGTCCCAATACCATGCTGCACACCATCCCTTGTACTCACAGCAGGACCCAATCCTCTCTGCACACCACGGAGGCCTTCGTTCCGCCACGTCTTGGCTATAACATCCAGTGCGTTCTTGTACACCTTTTCCCCACCCTTCTTAGCGAGCTCCCCTTGAAGCTGCATTCGAGTCTTGGCGACCTCTGCAGGATTGGACACGGTCACCTGGTGCGCGAGCGGCACGCGTCAGAAGTGGCTTCTTGTGCATCATTGCAATATATACGCGACTTACGGCCACGCATGCTGCAAGACCACCGCATGCGAACCCTTCGAATGATGAAAGCGGTCGGCTGGGTGTGGCAGGGGCGCTCATCTTGTTCTCGGCTGCTCTCAGGCAATGCGATGGTGGCGAGCGAGGGCGAGAGAGATGAGGGTCTCCGGTGAACGAGTCACTCGATGCCGGCGAGCGCTGTAACGTCGAATGCGGGGTGACTGCGATGGCGCAAGTGGCTGAGGCGGGACAGCCGATCAGCATCAGCTCACCTCCTCGCACTTAGATGCTGTCTGACCGTTGTACCTTCAATGACATATAAAGCATCCTTGAGCTCGTTGGGTTGAGATCATACAACTCATGAGCTGCATTCACTCAGGCTACTTTCTCAGCCAAGCACTGGTCGTGTCGCTGGTCTCCGGTAAGCGCCCATAGCAATAACGGAAGGGTGCACAGGGTGTCTGGGGGAGCAACGCGCCTGCGCCCAAGTCCTACTGTCGTCGCGTTGGACAATGTTCTCCTCGTCCACCACGACTTGCAGCACTGCTTGTCCAGTGACGACCGCTCGTTTGCGAGAGTATGCCGCCTCTGGGCAGGCATGCAATTGCTCTCTTCCTTGCTGTGGGCGTCGGTCTGCCCGTTCTCTGGCGGGTCTTGTCTTCGCCACTGACTATTGCTCTACTGTTGCCGTTATTCATCCTCGTCCTGATCCTCGGATTCTTCGCGCTCAATATTGCTCTTGGGTCCCTCCTAGACTCCATACGACCTGCGCCTACCAATGCTCTGACAACTGCAGCTCGACCGCTTGCCTTCTCTACTCCAGCGGCATGGCAAGCTGTCCTGACGCGGTCGCAATGGTCGTACAAAGCACCACAGTCCCTGCCGCCGCTCTACCCTGACGCCCCAGTAGCGTCGGCCGCTATCAACGACATTCTCATACTCATTGTGCGCGACTTTGTGCTCGTATGGTATAAGGAAATTTCGTCTTCGCCGTCTTTCCCTACTGCCGTCTCGTCTACTCTCCATGGTTCGATGGAACGTCTGTTGGAAAGAGCGACGTCCCTTGATTTGTCCGCCCTACTGGTTAATCGTATTCTCCCCAAGGTCACTGCTCATATCGAACAGTTTCGTCAATCCGAGGTCGCGCTTCGAGGGGCTGGGCTGGAACGCAAGTTGACGCAGTCCGAAGAGTTGGACCTTTTGCTCGCGAGCCGATACGCCGCGAAGGGTGGCGGCAAGCTGCATCCTGCTGTCGACAACCTGTCCTCTACGTTCACCAAGCAGACCGAGGAGAATCATTTACGGGGTTTGGTAGACAAGGCACTTCCGCACATCCTGCCAGAGAAGGAGGCTCGGAGCCGCGCGGTCAAGATTGTCGTCAGAGAGATAGTGGCATGTTCTGTTCTGTACCCCGTCATGGAAATGTTAGCAGACCCCGACTTCTGGAACCGCATGATTGACCAAGTCGTGAGTAGTGACGGCCTCCAGTCCTCCGCCTTCTGACCTCGCATAGGCAGGAGCTGCTATTCGGCAACAGTGCGTCTGCTGTACTGGCCTAATGTGCTGATCGAGCGTAACCTACGTGCACTATAGACGCCTCATTTCCAAGGTGCGGCACATCCTGGAAGCGCAGCTGCCCCGCTCGCATCCCCGCTTAGAGGACGTGCCTGCTGCGACTACGGAAACGATCACGATACGCACAGACGCAAGGCAATTCGAGTCTTTCCTTCGCAGTATCAGTCGATGTTCTTCATTGCTAGATGCCCGTAGGCTGAGGAACGACATCATGGGAGAGATAAGACGAACGCGCACTTTGCTGGGTAAGTAGGCGAAGTCGAAGTGCAGTCATGCTGGATCAATCACTTACATCATCTCAGCTAACAATGCGAACTCGGACTGGATCAACGGTGAGAAGACAGAAGATATCGTCGCGTTCCTTGACAGGCTGTACACTGCGAAACGCAAAGTTGAGAAGCGCATCGTAGTCCTTGGCGGTGAAGCGGACTCGGTAAACGTCCTTAGGCCGCTCATATTTGCACGTCTAACCCTCGGTTGTAGCGGCAAACGATATACCAAGAAATGCCCACGACTGCCTCTCTGACGCTACGGGACATCTTGACAAACCCCAGCTCCTTATCCTACTTCATGGAATTCATGGATCGGCGACATCGGTCGCTCCTGGTGCAGTTCTGGCTTACAGTGGAAAGCTTCAAGAATCCCCTGGAATCCGTGGACTCCGGTAGCTCTGACGAAGACGATGAAGCCCTCCTGGACCCGGCTCAATCTGCCACACTGAAGGAGGACATTTCGCTAATCAACGAACTCTACTTCTCCAGTCCGGTTCCCGATCCCGTGCTCAGCGCAGTCTCCCAGAAGCATATAAATACAATACGCTCCTTCGGGCAAGATGCAGAGACGTCCACTCCAGCCTCGGAAAGGCGAGTTCGTCGCAGCGTCATGCTCGCGCAAAGGCAGGTTGAGCGCGAGATGGAGCAAGATTTCGAAGACTTCCAGCGGTCCGAACTGTGGTTCCGGGCGATCGCTGACATTCAGGCCAATGCTGGAAAGCCCGCTCAGGACCAATCGATCGCCAATGGCCCTCGTTCGCCTACGTCTACTCGACAGTCTTCGGAGGTATCCCATCCTCCACGACCGGTACGCGGGGCAAGCCATCCTCTTCTGACGACCTCGAGGCCTATGCCTCGCTCGGAGTCTTCACCGTCAATCAGCGGACCATTTTCCCGTCATACACCTACGCCCCCTGCCATCGGTGCCCCAGCGCCTTCGTCTCGACCTAATGTCTCCAATCTACAGGTGCTCATGTCTCCCATCCAGGATGGGCCTTCCGACTCCAATTCCCGCGCTCCGCTTTTTGACGACCCGGAGGACGCGGAGCAGCAGGAGCAGTCCCAGAGGATGGAGGCAATCCAAGCGGCTCTGACGGACATTATAGCACTCGACAAGCAGCACGAAGAGCCCCGTGCGGGTAGTTCCTCTGATAGCCTGAGCATACAAGACTCCGTCACTTTACCTGGTAGCTCCCGGCTCGCGCAAGATGGGAAGAGGCGGCTGATGTTCGAAGACGAAGCAGAGGAAGAGGAAAATAGGCTGGGCGAGGAAGAGGATACAGAGAAGGAGCATGGATCCTTCCAACTTGCAGGTCCCGGGGACCTCCAGCTCTCACACGAGATACAGCGGTTGACGAACAAGATCGAGAAGCTGCAGACACAAGACGCGATGCTGGATACGCTGATTAAGAAGGCAGAGCTGAGCGGAGACGCCCAGGAACTC